GGCCATCTTGGATTTGAGGCACAAAATGGCCACCAATTGTTTCCAAATGATCAAAAATGGGTTCCTTGTCCCTAATTTAGTCAGGTTTGATAATCTATACATGTTTCTAGGCCAAAAATTAATGGAAATATGAAATATTATATATTTTGGCACATAATTTGCATAATTTATGCTAATTAATGTATCGATAGAGGGCGTCTCTTTGGATAAAAAATTTTCTTTTGGCCCAAGGAACATTTATGCCAAGTTAGACATTTGTACTATAAAATGCAGCGTTTGACCTCTTAACAAGCCTACTATCGTAGACTATTAAAGTGATGTTGAAATTATGTTGATATACTTGTCATCAGGGTTATGCATAGACACTTTTATTAATCTGTTTATCTGATTGCATCCATCGATAGTTGCATCGATCTACAGAGACCGGTAGTTTCTCTCTCTCTCGAAACGTACATAAATGTACATACTCTAAGTAATGTGTTGACAATCAGTGGTCCACAAAGAGCCCAGACCACGCCTTAAGCCCTGCCCTGAGCCACGCCCTGAGGCCCGTTAGGGCCACGCCAGGAGGCAGGTCGAGTAACGTGTCATAAAACTTACACAGCAAAATTGCTACAAATGAAGCTTACTTTTGAACAACAGCTATTTAATTCCTTCATCATCGTTTTTAAAAAAAGCAAACTATAAGATTAAATAAATCAAAATTAGTGATAAAAGATGGTTTAAAATAGATAATTCTTCATAAATGAAAGAAAAGGCTGAATACGCGTACGAAAGCCTGATAAGGTCACATCCTAGGGGCTGATTCCCAATGAATTTATGGTTACATGTAGATCGATCCAACATCGCGGGGACTCTCGCTAAATGCAAGCAGATTACCATATAAATGCGCCTTCTCCTGGTATTGATAAGACCACAGAAAAGGTGGTGATTGTTCGAAAGCGATGGAAACAAGTGGTTTAGTGTTAATCCGCTTATCTAATCGCAATCAGCGAAAGTCTTGGATCGATCTGCGTGGAACGATATTTTCATTGGGAATGAGTCCCTAGCCGAGCTCCACTGGTGCCTCATGATTTATAGATGACGTAGATTTACAACAATTAAGTGAATTGAGAGCGCGCGGGGACAAGCTACCAGTTAGTGTATCCTTGAAGTAAATATCCACGACATGATTCCGTTGAATAATTGGACTACGTGGGCTATTTGGATGGTGGTATCTTCCAGCTCCATGACAGGTACCTAGACCGTTTGATAAATTCTTTCATAAGTATTTTTAACTTTTATTATTCCCTGACCTGTGTAAGTTTTCTGGTTGTGAAAAGCTGGGGAAGCACTTGTAGACCAAGGCCAGTAGTTAATATTTTTATTACCAGGTGTCAAGTCGTGTGTTTTAGTTATAAAACTGTGTTTAGTGCAACATGGATTAAATGCATACCGATAAGTAAATTGAAAACTAAAAACTGGAAAAAATGTAGGGAAGACGGCTAAGGTTAACATTTTAGCTCTGGTATAAAGCCGATTAAACTGAAATACATATAACTAGGACCCGATCTAATAATTTACTACGTTAATATGGTTGAAGGGATGCTGGTAGATTATTAATTTATATACTGTACGGTAGTATAGCAAAAGCATGTCTTTATACAATATTAGTGAATCTAAAACATATTCACCTACATGTATATCTTCACACAAGTAGCGTATGGGCCATGATCTATCTCGAGTATTCACTTTACTGCGGTCAGTCATCCACGGCTAAAATGATTATATGTAAATTATGCGGGCAGAATTAAAAACAAAACACTTAAAAGGTTATTCATAAAAATCGTTTGTGTAATATAACAACCCACCTCGGTTCCATGCCGCGTATATTTCTCAATTAGGGGCAGCATTTGCACAATTAAGTCATCTGTCTTTTTTATTGAAATAATTATTTCAAACAATTTTTCTTGCAGTCAAATGCTCAGACTCGACCCACACTGCTGCTCATTGTCTTAAAAGAGCAACATACGGTTTAAGTGACAGTTCCCAAACTTTCATTGACTGTGTCACAGCAACTAATGAAGGTGTCTGTACAGAAGTCAGTTTGACGTCAGTGAAAGGTAAAGTTCCGAAATAGGGGAATAAATGAGGTGAATGCGGAGGTGTCTTATTTAGATTTTGTCCGCATATTTGGTTTATCATTCGTAGTCTGTCGACATACACTATAATAATATCTTTTGCCCCAACACAAGTGTAAGAATCACTTCATTTTTGTGTTAAATGAGTATTTTAGTCATGATATGTATGCGTCAATCAATAATCTGATCAGTTGGTTATATATAAAAATATTTTGCTTCCAGACGAGGTACCGGAGCCGTTGCTGCCGGCGCTCACACCCAGTCTATTCTCCAATGTCCCACCCTACATCAACTTTATAATGCCTGGACAACGGAGTGAGTTATATTTAAGTCATTGGAAAAGAAGCTATTTAATAACTGCTGTTTCAGTTGTTACGTGTATCAAACTTAACGCAAACTAGCTACACTGTAGGAGCCACACAAAAACATTTTGGACAAAGTTTATCAGTTGACAGGTGGGGCAGTTTTGCAACCATCTTCATTTTAACTTTAATAAAAAATAAATTACGAATAATGGGGGAAATTTTAATTGTACACGTAAACGAAAACTTTAAATGAATACTTTTTAAAGTTCTTTAAGTTTCATTTTACAGTTAAACCTATTACGAGCGATGAGATCAATGTAACGCTTTTGGATTCTTTCCTATTTTCCCTTCATTATTCTCTATTCTTCATTAAAACTGTTGAACAGTGTGGGGATTGTAAGAATTTTTTTACCCCTTATATAAGAAAAATAACGAGCAATCGTTCGACATAATATTGAAATATTGTACATTTGAATCTGAGTGTACAGTCAATTTGAGTAAACTGTATCGTTATTGGTGATGTAGCTTTATGATGGTGAAAAAGTGAAACGTCGTGCATCCTAAGTTTAAAAATAACGTTGTCTCTTTAGAAACGAAATGCTCTTTTTTCAGGTATCTTACATGTTTTGTGTATGTGCTTCATGATTGTGAGACTTTTTCCGTTTTAGAAGAACCATTGCCGGATAATATAAGTCGCCGTCTACTTTGGTATGACGGGGGTTCTCCTCTGGTCGCTGCAACAGCCATCAGATCCGGCTATACCCTGACTAAAGGTGCCAATTATTTTATTATAGTTTTCATTATTATTATTATTATTATTATTATTATTATTATTATTATTATTATTATTATTTGATTATTTTTTTCTTTTTGCGTCTTAATTAAATGAGGCGTTATATGGGGGAAAACACATACCTTTATTACATATATATAGACTTGGAATAGCCCTTGACACGTTAAATAAAAAATGGGGTGGGGGCCTTGCAATGTAATTTACGAAAATATAATGCCCATACATATACAATTATTGGGAATGACCAATTTAACATGAATCAGTAGGCCGGAGAACAAGTTATGTTTTACAAACGGAATTCATAATGCTACTGCATAATCGTGCACTCTTGGTAAAAAAAAAAATTGAATAGGCGGTATTTTCTTTTGCTTCTCATTTTTATCCACGGAAGTAATAATGAGTAATAATGAGTGCTTATGCAAATATCTATCCATTCCAGATTTTGCAATGGCGGTTGGATATTACGTAGGATGTTTTCAGCCCAGTGAAGTATACAAGTTTCAGAACTTCAGACCCAGTCAAAAGGTGAGCATTTGTCCAACCGTTATATATATATATTATATATAAACGTAGTTAATGATTGTTTTTGTATTTACAGCTCTACAGTTTTAAAACTTATTGTAAAAGCCACATTCGTTGTAAAATAAATGTGTACGGAAATAGATAAAATAACGTTATGTTCCAGTATAATCACTTCCCAGGCAGTTGGAGTATTGGCTGTAAGGACAGACTTTGGCACGCTGTGCGTAAAATGAAGAAAACGCACGGCAGAAAGAAATTTGATTTTCTGCCACCGACCTTTGTTCTACCAGAGGAAACCAACCTACTCAAGAAAGCATGGAATAGCAATCCAAATGGCAATCTATGGATACTTAAACCGGTAAGATGCAATTATAGATTTTGTCTGAGGTATGATATACGACGTGTTAACCGAACGCAAAAGTGTACACTGGTTTTTATTATATAATTCATTACCTTAATGTTAATTGCTGCAAGATATTATAAATAACTGCAACTCCCGTGCATTTTTATATCTGCACTTTGAACAATAATGTAAAGAATAAAACAAATTCTAAAAAATACCATCTAAGACAAATAAAAGATACAAGTTATAGAATTCTCAAACAAAAAACTTTTAAAAAAAAGACCTTTAATAAAAGTCATCGCAGTAAAACACTGTGAGCAGCTATTTATTGAGTTTTACCAGTAGTCATTATAGTGGTAGGTCAGTTATAACTCTTGCCTTTCTGTAAACCCGTCATGTCTTTTTGATACCCCCTTCATGCACGGGAGCGTTAGGAGGGGGAAATGTTTTGTAAACGGTTGATATTGATATATGCCCTTGTATCTACTAAGTATGTATATGTGCTATTGGAGGCAAGGCTTTTGACAAGACGAAATGACTCTAGGTTATGTAATGTATAATGTATGGAAAAAATATGTTACATATTTCTTATTTATCAACGCCAACTAATACACTTTTCTGTCTTTGACCAGCCATGTTTTCACGGAGGAAGAGGCATTGAAGTGATACGGCTACAGAAACAGATTCCTGCCAACGCTAGGATTATGGTACAAAGGTCTGTGTGTGTTTATTAATTAATTTATTTATTGAGAATAAAAACACTGGAAAATTAAAAATTATCTTCCCCTTGGCTCTCCATGTTTGTGTGTATGCGAGTGTTTGTCTATTTGCTCGCTTGTGCGTGTGTTTGTGAGTGTGTTTGTTGTTTGTGTGCGTTTATTTATTAGTTATTTATTCAGCTTTATTTATTAAGGGTAAAAACATGGTAAATTTAAAATGTATCTTCCCCATGGCCGCCCATGCTTGTGTTTGTGTATGTGTCAATTCAATGATATTTCTTTATGAGAAAAAACTAAAAATTCATGATGCGCACGTTGATTTATAAAAGTAGGTGCACCTCCCCCCCCCCAAAAAAAAAAGCTTAATAATCACTCTTCTACGACATTATTGAAGATACATTTTATCCGCTTTTTATTAGATCGTGATTTTATTCACTTCCAGATATATATCCAACCCTTACCTCATAGATGGTTATAAGTTTGACATGAGGATCTACGCCTACGTTCCCAGTATAAACCCGCTAAGAGTTTACCTGTACCCTGATGGTGTGGTAAAGTTTGCTACCAAAAAGTATGTTACTAATGTGATGATGTTGTTGTTGTAATTATTTGATTCTGTGCTATGTATTGTGATGTAGAGTTGATAAACTAATGGTTATAGTGTCACTTCCATGGGAACCAAAAAATAAATAAATAAATAAATAAAATAAAATAAAGGGGTGGGGCCTAAATCAAAGTTCATGGTAGTCTTTCAGGAAATAGGCCTACCTGGATAAGGTTTTCCGTATTATGTTGTCGATGTGGACAACATATTAGCCAGATAATTATATGGATATCATTAGTACGATACAGTAAGATTCTTTATCATTGAGTTTGGATGAAATGGTCTCACTTCCCCCGTGCGAGAACCAACACTGTCTGAACCTCGTGTCATTTTAAATCCCAAGTTCTCCTTTGCAACATAAATTTCAGACGGAGTCGGGTCCTTTGACACTTATTTTGCTTCTATGTGCCTGCGGGGGAATGTTTCACTGTACAGCACAGTCAGAACAAATAACAGTGCAAGTATTTATGATGATTTAATTAAATATTATATATCACTTCTTATCTAGGTTTACAACGGACGACCTTGACAGTATGGTCCACCTCACCAATATCGAGGTAAACGCCAAGAATCCGGCATATACCTTGGATTATTCGCTGAAAACAGGGCACAAATGGTAAGTTTACCCTTTTCGCTGTTGTTAGTCATTGTTTGATTAATTGTCCAACTGAAGGTTTGGGAAGGTTTTGAATCCTTTTTGGGATTAGTACATGTACCACCAGCAGCGTTTGTGAACTGATGAGCACTTTGGAATTGCTGTAGCTTTGTTTTGGCTCAAATACCACAGTATCTTATTATGTTTTGATCAAATATCTAATGGTGTTATCCGCTTAGAAACAACGGCTGTACATTTTTACTGTGCTTGCTTACCAATAGCGTTCTTTACTTTAGGTCGCTTAATGTATTGAAAGAATACCTTAGAACAAACAACGGGACTGACTGGATGCCAATATGGGAGAATATCAAAGATATCGTACTTAAGACGATTATCAGGTAACTTCACATCAATCCCTTGATGGCACCATATCATTCATAAACGCGTTGCTTTGTATGAGAAAGCAAAATATATATATATATTCGAACAAACGTAAAGGTAACGTGTTTGTCATAATGTTAAAATGAATTATTACAAATATCGGTAAATTAATCCACGCAATCTTAAAGCTCAGACAATGCAATACATGATATCAAAAACGGATAGGTTTTCCTTGTTTGGTGTTTGAAATTGTAAGTTTGTCAGTTCTGTAGTACTCCCACAGTAAGTAATATTTACAATTCAAGAAGGATGTTAGTTTTATGTCATATCTTAAGGGATTTTTATATACATTGTCTCAATGGACACACACAATTAAACAATTAATGTGATCTTTACTTAAGTTCGTTATTTACAGATACTATTAAATTATGTATGGGAAATTAGCTCTCTCTTCTATAAGTTAGCAGTATTAGTTCATATGCGTTAAGTAATCACTGCGTCCCCCCCCCCAAACAGCGGTATGAGTAAAGTAACCGTTGTGTGTCTTTCTCCAAAACAGCGGGGAGCCTGAGATATGGGAGGGAGTGCGGAAATACCTGCAGAGCAAATACAGCGGGCATGAACTGTTCGGCTTTGATATACTTCTGGACAATAACATGAAGCCTTGGGTCCTAGAGGTCAACAAATCACCTGGGTAAGTTTTATTTTGGTTTACTTCTGGACGAGAACATGGATCCTCGGGTCCTGGAGGTCAACAAATCACTCGGGTAAGTTTTTTGGTTTCCTTTATGACAATAACATGAAGCCTTGGGTCCTGGAGGTCAACATAGCACCTGGGTAAGTGTTAGATATAGGTCTAGGCCCTGTTTTACCGAAACTGGGATGGAAAGATTCCATGGATTACATTGTTATCCTTTAGACAGATATCCTGAGGATAACTGCCATTTTGACTTCTTAAAAAAGTTCAATAGTCTGGTAGATATACATGAATTGTTTAATTAATAATTACACAGACAGTATGACGGTAGGAAAGCGTTGTCTGTGACACTGTGTTATTATTAATTCAACAATTCGTGCCATTTGGACTACTAGAAAGCAATACCAGTAGGCAATAATAATAATAATAACAATAATAATAATAATTTGACAAATAAATGAAATAAAAATAAGTCGCAAAAGTTTTGAAGCATATTTACAGGATAACCATACTTTTGCGATGTGTTGGTTAATTGGTGGGTTATGTGGTTAATATGGGCGTTAGTGTTAAAAGATCTGCGGAAAGTGTTCGTAAACGCCTTATCCGTTTATAAGACCTGCTTAAGAGCTCATTTTAATAACACAATCAGTTATCTTCTGTTATTTAACTCAGCACTATAATATTTACAGGCTATACCCACACTCCGGTCACTTTCGCCCGGTCAATGACCCCATGGCCAAGGATATGCTTAATTTGGCCGGGTTCAGAATTCCTAGTAATCAAGGAACAGACGACAGGAACGAAAATACAAGGTAAGGCATTCCCCTCTGGACAAATGCGTCAATTGGCTTCTGATGATTTTGGGATATTTTAACTTGACCTTGTCATAAATTGTTTTACAATTGTTGGTGCAGCTTTCGGTATTTGCGAATTTTGCGTAAATGGCAAACCTCATGCGAAGTGGTGATAGCAATTGATGGCACATTTTAGCACTCAACGACAGAATGCATCAACTAGAGTAACCTCAGTGTATCTGCTGTCATTGACTTCGGGTGCATTTCCCGTTTTTACCCCCGCAGAAATTGGAGACCATTCATGTACGGTGAATTGAGTTTTCTTATATTTCGTATAATGATGGTAGAAAGTCATGTCTAAAATGACTAAATATAAAATATTTATGTCATGAGGCATGATGTTTCGATCGTTCAGCTTGGCCAAGGCTGTCTTATGTTAGGGGCAAAATGCCGCATCTCAAAGGGGAAAATAGGCCAAGTTTATTTTGAGACAATTTGCTTTTTTTATCATAATTAATAATTAGTCAAATATTTCTATTCCAGTGGGTCTGACGTTCCTGACCACTTATTGCTGGACAAACGCTGGTGGTCACAAACATTGTCTGGCGAAGAGAAAGCAAAACAGAAATATTATTGTGATAACCACAAGAACGAGGTTTGTATTTTATCGAAATCATATTTAGACAACGCAAATTGAAATGGTTTCTGACATATACAACTAGAATTTTTATTTTTGTTTTATTTGCAATGTTGCTTGAGTGCTTCATTTGGGGAGGGGCAAACAATATCGTGCCGATGACTGACACTAGCGATTAAATGCACGCGTGCACACAGATTTAAGTTAAATATTTTATACCGTATTATATATTATATTAAATATTAGTTTTTCAAATTAATATTGTTCACTTTTCCCTATTTATTTTTAATTTATGTACACAGTGGTCACGAAAGTAAATAAAAATGTTAATCGAAATGCTTCACTTAATCTCGAGTCTATAGGCAAACATCGCTTTTTGGGGATTTTTCAGACGATTCTGTCTACTATCCTGGACAATCTGACACCGGATGACATCCGGGTCCTCGTTGACACGATAGACGAGAACAGCAGGCGGGGAGGATTCGACAGGATCTTCCCAAGATTAGACACAGACAAATATTTCCGGTTCTTCCAAAAGCCGAGGTAAGGCACTGAGTTGTTTGCAACGGCGTCCATTTGAGTGGTGATTTTTAGCAATAGTGTTCGAAGCTAAAGTAAAATATCCAATTTTTCGTTTGAGAGTGGTGTAAGTTGACAGCATGTATCAAACCTTTAACAGCGTTGAAGGCAAGTGTATAGTGAAATATGTTTTTATTTTCTACTCAATTGACTTAGATCAGTTAGATTGAAAACATACCCTCGTTTGGTTAATTGTTATTGTTACAATTATTTGCTTTTCAGGTACTACAATATTCTTATTCACCAGTGGTTGAAACGATTCCATAAAAACGAAACAGAAGGTATATCTCTAGTGGAAGCTCATTGTAAAGAGCTAAAGCACCTTACAGACCAAAACTGACACAACTGCCTTTGCTTCTTCGAAGATCGTCTTATCGACCCAGCTCTAGTGACCTTTTGGAAATTGGATATTGACATTGAATTTCTGCTGTCTTTGAACTGGTTGGTGTTCATAAGACGAGATACGACGCTATAGTCAGTCAAAACTCCAGTGGGCCTGATTTAAATTGTATCAGTATTTTGGGGCTCTTGTTGAGTGCAGTGCTCAGCTGAACGACACGCGACCTCCTGGCGTTAAGTAGAATACGGAAAAGCTGGTGATACACACTGTAATACGAGTGCATTGGAAATTAGAGGAGGCTTGTTGTTCAATTAAGCTGATTACATTCAGTGAGAGTCCCTGCAGAACTGGATCGATGTACGTGGACCGACGGGGTCTTTGAGAATGGGGATATAAATTTAATGGAACTCGGATGGGTCTGTCGTCGAAGGTTAGGGACATTTAT